AACTTATTTTTTGGATTAAATTTGAAAAAACTTAAGCGAATATTATTAAAAAATCATTACAAAGTAATAATCATTAATAATATAATTGATTTTTTGGCTAAAACTGCAAATAAAATAACCCAAATTTGAGTATCGCCACAACAAAACACCAAAAAATGATTAGATATCGCCAAATTTTCAACACCAATCCCATCATCTTCATCACAGACATAATCCTTACATCGCTAATCCTATCACCAAACATGGCATATTCACCGTACTGCAGCCAACATTTGAACGGAGACGGATCATTATTTTGCTTCTACCTCGAGGATATACATTCCATGACTAATGACATCCAATCAGCTGAAGAAATCTGCACATCAAAAGGGTATACACTCTTAAAACTCTACAATAGTCAAATCAGTGATTTATATCTGCGAGCTATAAAGAGCTGGAATACAACGGATAAGCGTACGGATGGGTATTATGTGAGGATGGGACTGTCGAGGAATGATAATAATAGGACATGGATGTGGAATGATGGTACGGTGTTTTTTTTCGTTCCGGATTTTTTAAATAATTATTTTTTTTAGTGTTTTTTATTAGTTATTTATGGTTTTATTAGAGATTCTTGAAAAACTATTAAAATAATTAAAATTTTAGAAATGCTTGAAGAAAAATTTTAAAATTTCTGTTGTATTTATATATTAAAAATCATCAGTATTAATAATTTTATAATACATCTCATTCTATATTCACTTTACAAAATAAATATTTTCACAATAATTTTTGAAAAGCTTAAAAAAATTAGCCTCCCGAAATTATTTTTTTCCTTTACAATAACAGGAAAACCGATGGAATTTCCGAAGTGGGAATGGGAGTCAAACTTTGACTGTGGTTTCGTTGAATACAGAGGTTGGGCCGACGATCTAATTTGGCACCAGTCGTCGTGCATTGTCGACCGGCTTTACATATGCATGGACCGCTATTTCGGTTGCTTTTGAATCTCCAACTTTTATATTTTCAAATTTTCTCAATTTATTAATTTTAGATACTTAAGATATGGTTGAAACTGATTAAGAGAATAAACATCTTGATGTATAATGGTTAAAATTAATTAAGAAATTAAACATCTTGATGTATAAATGGTTAAAATTAATTAAGAAACTAACTAGTTTGATGAATGTTATTAGATTCTTAACACAAATATAAATTACAGCCTCAAATGTAAGCACAGTAACAACAACTACAACAACAACCACAACTACTACAACAACTACCACAACTGTTGTTGCAAACGGCACTTCAACAACCACAACTTCATCACCATTTTTGCCAACTTCGGCTTCAACTTTTTCAGCGTATTACCCTTCGACGCCAACAAACCTCATTAATAGCAGTAACTTTACTCATTGTTTCAATCTTATAAATTTGGTTTGGAGATTAATTATTCACTCATTTGTACATTTTTTGTGATTATTTATTACAAAATCTTTAACTAGATCTCCAACATCATAAAACCTGTGTTTTTAAACAACATCTTAATAATAATGATAGTTATCATCATCATCATCATCATCATTATCATCATCGTCGTCGTCATCATCATCACCATCATCATCATCATTATCATAACTCACAGCGGAACCCACAGCCCCCCAAGCAGTTGCATATGTAGCTGGTGTGGTAGTGTCAATTGTAGTGGTGGCTGTTGTTGTTATCATTATTGTTTGTGTTGTTTATAAGAGGAATAAGAAGGATCGAAATGAGGAGTGAGTCGTTGTTATTATTATTATATTTTTATCCTTTATTTCATCATTTTAATAATCAAAGCAAAATAAAAATGATGAATTAATGAAGGAATTAACACATTTGATAAACTAAAAGTAATTGTATGCTAGATAGCTCAAACGGTAAGATTGCCACGATTCAAAAAGTTGTAACTATAAGCTTCCTGGTTCAATTGCAGTCTAGTCTCAAAGACTCACGTAGGCACACACGTGTGTGACAGTACACTGCAGAGTTTGTGCGCAAATATGAAAATGTTTTTTTTCATGTACAGCCGGGATGTGGAAGCCTTTTCTCTATTTTGTTGCTACTTTAACGATAAAGAAGCTAATTGATATGCGAATGAATGCAATAGAAATATGTCTGAATAATCTATTATAAATGTTTTTTTTTAATTCCTATAGATCACACACACACGCAAACACACACACATTCTCACACACACACGCACAAAAAGTTTTATAAATATTTATTCATGTGTCACGCCAGAAAAATGCTAATTTTTTATTCTACAGTAACAACCAAGTGACATTTCCAAACTCCAGCCATTACGATAGTGATATATTTAGCAACAACAACAACAACAACAACAACAATGTTTACACTAGCAACAACAACATCAACAACAACTTTGGTTTCTTGAATCAGTACGATCATGACATTAACATCAAAGACAGCAGCAACAAATACGATTATGACGACAACAACAATAACATCAATAACAAAATTTCTAAGCTTCCGTACTATGGGAAAGTTGAACTACACACAGAGGACGACACTCCTGCAATTTTCGCCAACAACGCCAGCAAAAACCAACACTGAACAACAACAACATTAACAACAACAACAACATTAACAACAACAACAACATTAACAACAACAACATTAACTACAACAACAGCATTAACCACAACAACATTAACAACAACAACAGCATTAAAAACAACAGCAGCATTAACCACAACATTAACCACAAAAACATCATTAACAACAACAACAACATTAACCACAACAACAGCCTTAACCACAACAACATTAACAACAACAACAGCATTAAAAACAACAACAGCATTAACCACAACATTAACCACAACAATAACATTAACCACAACAACAACATTAACCACAACAACAGCATTAACAACCACAACAACATTAACAACAACGACAACATCTTCATTTCATAAACAACTTTACTACAAGCTTATTCATAGACAGACATGTATCTTGTAACCGTTGTTCATCGTTATATCTTCCCGCGTACAGTTAAAAAACTTGCCTCGAAATACTCTGCTAATTATTTTTTATTATCCTCTTTTATATTTTTATATTTTTTTTATTATATTTATATTTTATATTATATTTTTATTAGCTTCAAAATCCTCTGCTGATTACTTTTTGAAGATATGGCAAAAATGTGACCATCGGGGTGATAATGTGCGCGTCTTTGAAGTGTGCCGCCTGTATGTATTTATATATTCAAATGAACATTTCTAAGTACTTTTAAATTGACAAAAATATCAATTTACATGTAAAATTAGCAAAGTTTATTACGAAAAAATAGTACATTAGCATGAAATTTTCATTTTTAAACATGATTAAACATCAAATCATAACTTTTAGTAGTTAGTAGAGTCTTTCACTCAATTGTTCTGAATGTTTGTTCTGAAAATAAAACACCCAAAAAAAACGAAATTTAAATATGTCGGTATGCTGACTGTTGCAAGAAGGTATTTATATATATATATATATATAATTATATAAATTATAATAAATTATCTAAGTATGGTGTTAGGGGTATTGCTCTTGATTGGTTTGCTTCTTATTTGAATGAAAGGTTTCAATATGTTTCTATTAATAATTCCAGATCTCCTCTTTCTCCTATCTCTTCCGGGGTACCTCAAGGCTCTATCCTTGGTCCTTTACTTTTCAATATTTTTATAAATGATTTCATTAATTGTTCTAGAATTTTAAAATTTATTCTTTTTGCCGATGATTCCACTCTGTTGTTCTCTAATTCTAATGTTAGTCAATTGGTATCAATTTTCAATGAAGAGTTACATAACGTTTATAACTGGGTTCAGGCTAATAACTTAAGAATAAACATAGCTAAAACTAACTTTATTTTATTTGGACCTAAGATTCGAACAAGTGTTGTTGATATTCAGCTTTTATTAAATAATGTTTGCATTAACAGGGTTGAATCTACAAAGTTTTTAGGTGTCATTATCTCTAGCAATTTATCCTGGACTAGTCACATTCAATTCATTTCACAAAAGGCTACAAAAAATTTAGGAATACTTTACCGATTGAGATCAAGGTTTCCAAGACATATTTTAATAACACTATATAATTCTATTGTTTTGCCATTTTTCACCTATTGTATTTCTATTTGGGGTTTTACAACAAAATCTAACGTTCGTATGTTGAATCTTTGTCAAAATTATTTTATTCGTATTTTGTTTGGGTTACCAAAATTTGAGCATATCAGTCATTTGTTTATATCATCTGGAATTTTAAAAGTTTACCAGTTACACATTCTTTTCACGTTAATGTTTTTTTATAAATTATTTAAACTAAATTTTTGTCCTTCCTTGTGCCACCAATTAAATCATTTAAACAATAATCGATCAATATTTTTAAGACATAATATAGATTTTTATTTTCCTAAACCTCGTACTAACTTTTTTATTAATTCCGTCTTTCATGTCTCTTGTCGAC